TTTATTCTGTTATCCAATAGGGATTGGCCTCAAATTTAAATTTTTACCTTTTGGTTACCTGCCTTACCTACCTGTTCGTCTAGTTGTATCCTTAAAATGAACATTCTCGAGGTATTAGAACAAACAATGCTTATGACAGATACGTAGATAAATACTGATTTCGTTTGATGCATGGCAAGTTAATGATTCACTTATTCTGACTTTCAGAATTAACATTTGATGTGAAAACAGTAGATAAAACTTATTTGTATTATGTGTAAAAAGGATCCAAATAGAAAGTTTAAGTCAAAAATATGGATATTTTAAAGGTTTTTTTTATTGGTGTAGCTAGAAAGAGGCTGGGGTGGACACAGATACCCCTAGAAAACCTGAGAAAAGTACGATCTAATGTTCTTGATAAAAAAATGTATCGATGGCTTAAGTGCAAAACGTCGTAACCCCAAAAAGTAAATTTTACAGGGGAATAAAAAAACGAATTAGACTTTAGATGTAATTTCGAAGAGCAACTTTTTGTTTTGGCGCGTAAAATTAATTTTATTTTGTACTGTGGCTTACGATAGTTTTACACAAGACGCAGCTAAAACATACGACTCCAATGACGCGAAAAGCGATTTTTTGAAATTTTGTGGGTTACGACGTTTTGCACTTAAGCCATCGGTATATAACAATTCCACCACAGACAAACATTAGAAAACCACTGCAAAAAGGTTACTATTAACTGTTTTCCAATGCAATGTCGATCACTGATTTAGCCAGTGATTGACACTGAGAATCACACATTCAGTGAATAGTCACCAATTCATTTTAAGAGAGTATTATGGAACGCTTCAATACCCAGTCAAAAGTTATTCAGATTCAAATTACGCTGTCTCAAAGTTTAGACTCGGATGCCATATCTCCCCCCAATGAAAAAATATCTATACAATTAAGTGGTCAAAAATTAAACTCCCTATCCTCCAAAACCTCATATTATAAATTAGAAAATGTTTATTTCGGATTATTTATAGATTAGTAAACCAAGAAAAAGGAAAAAAAATATTTTTGTCCAAATATCACGACCAATAAATATTTTTTGATTGCGATTTTAGAAACTAGGGATTTTTGATTATTTTGTTTTAGCATACTATTTTGTGTATGGTACCCTATTTTGATTATTAAACTTAAAATATGATTGTGTGGACTAACAGAAACTAACAAACACTTGCTGCAAGTTTATTTTCTCCTTGCAAACTAAAACTTATTTTGTGTATGAAAAATTTATTATGAGTTTAAGTCGCGGTTTAAGTACAAATTTTAATTTATAATCGGAAGTTTTTAGTAAATTTTTATAATAGTTATATTTTTAAATTTGATGAAATCTTATTTTTTTATATTGTGCAAAATAAAATTAACAGAATTTTTTTTTTTTCATAAATTAATTTTTGAAAACTTTATTTAAGTTCAATAACAAAAATTTATATCCAAGGGGTAAACCACTAAGGTCAAAACGAATCTGTATTTCGGAAATCACTTAAAATTGGTATGATTTCGCCGAAATTCCCCTTAATTTTATGCGATTTCGTGATATCGGCGAAATCATTGCATAAAATTTTTTGATTTCCCTATAAATTGTCTTCAAATTAACTTTTTTGGAAATTTAAAAACCTCTTCACTTCTTGTTTGGTCGACCTTTTTTTAGGTCTCTTCCCTTGTGTTTTGATCCACAAGCTCCTGCGATTATAGTTCTGAGCAACAAATTGATTTTGAAGTGATTTCGGTGGATGCTTTCGACCATGATTTTCGTGATGATTTCGGAAATTTCAAGAGAATTTGAAGTGACTTCACGTGAAAACATACCTGTATTTCGGGAGTGGTTTACCCCTCGTTTATATCCAATACACTTGCTGCAAGTTTATTTTCGGCTTACGAATAACTTATTTTGGTATGTGGAAAATTTATTATAATTTTGCTAATTTTAGTGTATTTTCGGGAGTTTTTAGTATGTTCTTGAACGAACATTTATATTTTTAAACTATGAATGAAGGTAGGTACTTCTATCTATTTTTGTAAATTATCAAAATCAAATTATCCGAAAATGTATTTCAAAATTTTATACACAGGTTTAATAACATAAGTTTAGTAGGTAAATAAAAAATTAACATGGATGTTAATTCTCAAATTTTCTTTTTCTAATTAGGGCATAATTGCAACCTGCCAAACAAAAAAGAATCCAAAAAATGATAAATGAATATTCAATCGAGGTTTACATTCTTTGTGTTCTCAATATTTCGAAAAGAATGGAATAGGTACCTAATTCAGTTTGAAAAGTTAAAATGTAAATGTATGCATTAAACAGTCGAGATCGGAATAGTGTAATAATTTTGACAGCTGCCATTCGAATTCACGATTTTCGACCAGGCTCATAAAATGTACGTACCAAGCTAGGTTTATTTCGTTTAATTAAGAACAGACTGGTCTTTTTTTTTATTTACGCGTTTTATTGTCTGTCAACAATTGAAATGGCAAAAGCTGAGATAAACATAGTTTATTGGAGAACTTGAAAATACATCAAGAAATAATGGAACAACTGGAGAGGACCGAAGAATGTAGAAAACCTACTCTTTTACTCTTGTTTTGCCTTTTAATTGTGCCGCACTGTGGCAAACATCAATATTTAAAAACCAACGGGGGGTGGGTGGCTCAGTGGTAGAGTCTCTGCCTGTGGATCCAAGGGTACCAGGTTCGAATCCCACCGTTGGCCGTGACTTTCTTATTTAATTTAATTATTTAAAATTAATTCTGATGCCTTGGTAGGATTCCCCACTCGACCATTCACTGTTGGATTCTAATTAACAGTGCTGTTCCTAAAGTGGCGCTGGGAAACAGTAACAAAGGCTACACAGAACACGAGGCTAATGGCCTTAGTAGTCGATGCCGATGACACCAAACTAAAAAAAACCAACAGAGACCTTCAGACTGGGCTGGTATGTAATAAAATACATATAGGAGCATACATAGAAAAAATATTTGGCCCAAAGATGTTTTTAATATTGTGATTGACTTTCTTAAAAACTACTTCATATTAATTTTTAGGTAAATTGGTTATGTACTGTAAGAAGAGCCAATAATAAAGTTGAAATTAGTCATGATTTGTGGTTTGTAGGGATCGACCGATATGATTTTTTGTGGCCGATACCGATATACGCATAGCCGATACATCGGCCATAGGTACATTTTTATTATGAATAGTTCACTATAAAAACTTGACTGATTATGCCCCTTTAGCAAAAAATGCTAAGAAGTCAAATCAGGTAAACCAAGAGGTTCAGGACAATGCGCCTGACTCGATTTCTCATAGTTTATTTTGGAATACATTTGAAGAACTTACCGGTATGCAAGTAAATCACGACCATAGTAAGAAGACTGATACTTATATGATAGATAAAATTGGTGAGATTAAAATTTAGATTAAAGCGAGGATTAAAGACAAATATAAGACATTTTTCTACTATTATAAATATAAATGTGCAATAATATACTTATCACCCCTACCAAGTAGTATGGCTGTGGCTAGTGAACAGCTATTCTCTTCAGCTGGTATTGTAGGGGGCAGGGGTCAGCAACCTTTATGGAGTCAAAATCCATTTTTTTCTGGTAATTATTTTTTTAAAGAGCCAAATATAAGTAGGTACATACGTCGGTAATATTATAAAAAAATAATATAATGGTTAGTGGGGAATGGGGAGCAAGGTGGGCTTCACAGCTAGATTTCCTGCATGCGATCGGCCGCGCCTTTTGACGTGTGCACGGGATTATTAAAATTTGTTTGGAATTGGCAATATTGCAGCAAATTTTTCAATACTATCAAACTACTCAAGAACCGCATGTGGCTCGCGAGCCATAGATTGCCGACCCCTGGTATAGGATGATTCATTAAGGGTGGAGGTCACTGGTTATCTCAAAATATCTTTAAGTAAATCGCAAAAATACGTCGATTTTTATTTCAAGGCAGACACTGCGTTATTTTTCATTTTAAAGCCCTCTAGCGGGGTAAACAATATTACGTATGTTAAAGTGTGACGCGTTATTTGAAACTAATTTTATTAATAATCCAATGCACCACATAACATTAACCTAAAAATGTATCTATATTGCACTTGCAACAAAATAAAATTAGTAATAATGCAATCCATTTTTTGCTTTCATTAAGTTTATTTCTGATTTAGTTAGTTATGTAGTGCATTTGATTACTAATTAATTTAACTTTTAAATGAAGTGTCACACTTTACAATACGTAACAGTTTTTATCCAGCTAGAGGTCGTTAAAATTAAAAGTAACGCAATGAACCGTCATATTTCTGAATTTCCCATAAAATTACATTTTCGGTGATGTATCATACTTGGTACTTTCCCTATTTAAATTGTATTGGTTTGAATGACAGAGCGGATAGGAATTACATATGACAGTAGAATTTATTATAGAAAGGTGTCCCCCTTAAAATTAAAATCGACCTGTTTTTGCTCGTGTTTTTGCGTTTCTTACAAATAAAGTTCTACTTCAACACAATTCTGAGATACAGCCAGTATAACCCTGTATATAAAGGCACAAGAAATCGTCTAACCTCAAAAAGAGCAGAAATTTTAATTTTATTGCATTTTAACGTACTAAAATTTGACTTTAAATATTAAAAAAATGTTTTTTAACTTAAACTTTTCCTTTTATACTTATTCCAAATTTAATCTCTTTAAAAAATTCTTAGCATTTGAAATATTTAATTGATATTTTTGATAATTCGATACCGATATAGGCCGATATAGCACTCTACATATCGGCCGATAATACCAATATCGGTCTACCCCTAATTTGAAATTCCATTATTTCTTCTTTCCGAAAGTGCCATGCTTCGTAGGGTAATTGAAGACACGGGCCTATGTAGCAAAATAATTTTTACGAGATATTTCGTGCTAAAGTTTATTGTTTGGCAGTTATTCCCTAGTATTGCATTGGCAACTTCTATATAAGATGATATATTGTGACGGAAGATATTTTAAACGAATTTTAGGAACATAAGCCCTTCATTCACAGAAAAGCACCATTAAAAAAAATGTTACATAGGCCCTTCATCCACTTGTAACTTCAATTATATTAGGTGGATTTTATTCGCTTTAAAAAAAAAACCTTGTAATTTACATGTTACTTCAGTTACCTATTATTCAAGATGTACAATGAAACTCAATCTAACAAAGAGTAAAATACCACTTTATTGAACAATAAAAATAATATGCAGTATTTATTTTAAGAGATTATAAAACCATCAACCCTTATAACAATTTATGAGAGTGTGACACTTTAGGAAAGGGAAAACAGTGGCTAGTGAACTGAGAAAAATAATTCGAAATAGGTAACAGTTGCCTTATCTCCAAAAATACAGAATGTAATTTCTGGTTAAGCCCCGGATGTGAGCAAAAAACGGCGGGTACATAGAAAAAACTTAAAGAATTTTGGTGAAAAGATCACTTCATTTCATCTAGTTTAGAAGTTTCAAAATACCTGGTACAAAGACAATGAAATCCTGAGAGTTTAAAGCATATTTATAATAGTAAATATGATAGAAGTTTAAATTTAACACTGTAAATCAAAGTGTAATTTTGAAAATTTTCAGACAATTTAATAATGAATGTTCTTAGATATTTAAATTGAAACTTTAAATAAGTTTTTGATCGTATGTTAATAAGTTAATTTTGTAAGATTCTACTTAAAAAGTATAGCATATTAAGTTTATTTTTCAAGTTTAGAATGAGGCTGAAAGCTATCAATAAATATTTAACAAACTTACATTTATATAAGCTTACAATAAATTTGCAGCGAATGTATTTTGCTTAGTGGGTGAAATTTACATTGTTTTATTATTTCGGTCGTGTTAACCAGCTATCCCTCTACTAAACCCCCCAGATGATAATGCTAGAGCTAATACAATGGGCGTTTTAAATAATTATTACACTGCAGTGGAGGGAAAAGTGACATTTATAGAAATACATGTAAATTTATTAGATAGCAACTTCTTCTTGTCAAGTAATATATCCTGAAAGCAGCTATATAGGGTGAAAACATAAGAAAATGGAAATACATGAAAAACTGACTCACTTTAAAAATTAGCAATTAGGTAGGTAGGTAGTTAGTTATGTAATTTTAAAGAATAAGCTTAGCTCAAAATCAGTTTTGCATCTGTATGTATTAGGTACCTACCTAGGAATTGTTTTTATCTATTTTAAATTCTAATGCATGGACATGTCCTACATTGTGACAACACTGACAAATGACGTTTTGTCAACATTTAAAATAGGTATACTAAATACGGATCTGAATATATCTATTAAAATCGTACCACAAATATGTACAAAAATAGAATAATTTTATCTGCATACCTGTGTTAGTTGTATATTTTTGTACAAATAAATTATAAAATAATAGTCCTCAAATGCATACCTGACGTCACAAGTCATCGTCCTCGATTTAAAGTCACTGCACCCTAATGCACAGACTGCATACCACTTCACTAGGACATGGAGAAGTGCAGTTTTCAAAAAAAAAATCACCGCGCGTCCATGCTAGATTCCGATTGGGAACCGTGTTCAGAAGAACTACTACTTGAAACTGTTTCAGACGATTTAATTTTTGGCTTGTATTCTGTAATAACAACGGTAACACTGTTCACTGTAACTTCCCTTGTTTGAGCGCTGCTCCTGTCTATGTTTTTCAGCCGCGGAGGGTGGCGACGCTTTTTCAACGATTTCTTGTCTTTTTTCTCACGTTTCTGGTTACTCGTAGCTGGAAGAAACTGGCTGGCTACCTGTTGGGCCACTAATTGAGGGTTGATTCTCGGTTTTCGGGTCGAAGTTCCTTTTCGGACGTCACACATCAGGCATTTAAAGGCTTCCGCCGTGTTTCTGAACGTGCACACGCTACAATCCCAAAAATTATCCTCTAAAACTTTTGCCGAACGTTTTGCCCTTCTTATCGGGCTCTTTTTGCTGTCCATTTCGACTTGGAACACAAGCAAATGTTAATATTTTGATGAAAACTGACAATTCTTGGCTATCAACGGCGCCATGTTTGTTTCGCTGTCGTTTCGGTTTGCGGCGTTGCCGGACGTCTACCACATAGCTGCTGAAATGATACTTCTTTTAGTTTAGTCTGTAAACAGACCTAAAATTATGAAACATTTTTAATCTGTTATAAATTTAATATTTATTTATAATAAAATATATATTCCCATTATGTAGTAATTAGTTTCTTTATTTCTAAATCTTTATAGAGACAAGTGACATAAATTTGGCAACTTGGCCTAAATACACGGCGGTCGTTAGATGCATTCCAGTGGTAGCGTAACATATTTTTATTAGGAAAAAGAAAATTTATTTGCTGTGATTTACAGTTACTGTTATATTTATTCAGGTTTCTCCCGTAAGCGTACCGATAAACTTTTAGGGGTGGTAGGCTTTGAACAGATACTATTATAGTCATTGTCTAAATGAAAGTTGTTTTGGTACCTACGAGGGGAAAAATTCTGTCTAGCATTCTCATTAGTCTGTTTCGATTTGCTTGACATGTCAAATCTTCCGAAATAATCACAACTATCATTTGCAGATGAAGACTAGTTGCTACTAAAGCTATTGAAAAATGAATTACCGAACTTTAAAAAAAAACAGTAGCAAGATATCTATTAATTTCTTCTCCTCTTCATTGAAAAATTGCAGCTGTTGTTAACTTTTATCAGCCATACAGACAAAACTGACAAGAAATGACAGCAGAATTGCGATGAAATCAAAAATGTATTCGATAATCGATAACAACTAACAACGTCAGCGCATTCCGTTAAAACCAGATTTTAAAAAAAGGACGGCTTTGAAAGTACATTTTTAAATATGGTAACTTGGCGACGGAGTGTTCTTAAAAACCAAGCCATACGAACTTTACAGGTGATTTTCACCACGGATTGTTTTTGAAAATGATGAAGCGTTAATTTTTATATCTTTTTTATAATTTAGGTATATTGATTTATAATAGATTTTTTAACTTTAATACCCTGTATATCGGAAAACATTATTTTGATGTCCTCTGCCACCCCTAAAAGTTTTTCGGAATATTTACAGGACACCCTGTATATTTTGATTCTATCTTTTCTAATAAAGTTTTTAATGGATTTGCGTTTTTGGCAGCATTTAGACAGGTATTTACTTTCACGTAAGGTATTATTTAAAAAAATTCTATGAATAGGGTATGATGTGTTACGTAAAATTCTTCAAATTTAAATCGAAATTACCACAACTGGGATACAATTTTTTTAATTCTAAAACTCACAAGCAAACATCTTTACCAAATAATCTGAAATGTCACCATCTTTTCTACTTATCAAACTGATTTATTTTTAATGATGATCTTAGAAAAGTTCAATAACTTTTATAAAATCTTATTTTTTATTTGCAAGATTCAGTGTCATATCTATACTTTTTTGTCGTTTGTTCATTTGTTAATAATTCAATTCCTATTTTACTATTTAATAAATAAACCTAATTCTGTTAACAATAGTTCAAACATTTATTGCGGACACTATTAAATTATTACTTTGTAGATAATTATCATAATTCTTCAATAATGTAATGGATATTTTTAAAAAATCAAAAATAAAAATGGCCAAAACCAGTATACCACCATTCGGCTTTCTGTGTGTATTCTGATGGCATCAACTAACAAAACAACCGCACGCAATGCAGCCTAGGGACAACCGGCAACATAGCAGTAACGCGTCACTGTTACCCATGCAGACTCGTCTGTAGAGTTGGTTGTAACTGATTTATACTGTTATTGCCACTGTTACATTATATTAGTAATACAAAAGTTTACATTCTTTATAAGTTTACAGAACAAAGACTTTTTAAAATGAAAAAGTATAGATAAAAATTTTGATTGTAAAAGTTTTATTTGTTTATCAATAATTGTGGGAATTTGTGGCAATTGTTATTGTTTTTTATACAAAAATATCATGCAGTACCTATTCTTTCGTTTAAAATACTGTATGAAATTATTTTACAAGGTTTTATTATTTTAAGGTGGATGCAAACGTAGTGTTGTTTTCTAGTTGTGGCTACACCATCGAAGTGAAGAACCTTCCATCACATCAACATTGTGTAATTCGAAAGGGTCACTGGTTAAAAGTTGGAAATTCTACTTTCTCGAGGGAATCGAGTTTTTCTTTGAATTAAAATCAATAAATGTGGCCTTTTTAACCGATTTCAAAAAAGGCGGAGGTTCTCAATTCGTTGCAATATTTTTTTTATGTATGTTCAGCGATAATGCTTTACCACCTTGTCCGATTTATATGATTCTTTTTTTGTTAGTAAGGGGATACCTCAAGGGTGGTCTCATATAAATTTGGTTAAGATGTTGTGATGGCATCTGCACGTTTTTGAAGTCGGTTTTTTTTAATTTTTAATTTCTAATATAAATAAAAATTATTACATCTTTGGAGCTGCGCCAGATGGCATTTCTGATTCTCTTGTCATTGAACTAAAATATCCATGCAAAATGGAATTCGAATAGCTATATATCGAAAGTTTTATTTTCATATTTTAAGAAGCATAAAGAGATTTTTTGTGTGGCATCTTCAAATTTTAAAATTAATAAATAAGTTCAAATATTAGAAGTTGATATTTAGTGAACAAATATTAAATAATATTATGAAGCAGACAAATATTTTTTGGAAAAATGTTAAAGATATATCCTGTTTTAACGAATTTAAATAAAAAAAACAAGATTTTAAGATTTCTTTAATATTCTACAAACATTTTTATGACTACTCTTTATATGTGTTTATTATTTTCCTGATATATTACCATTAATTGAATAATTTATACAGTCTTCTCTATGCTCAGAAACTGACAGTTTACTGTAGATATTCCAGGCTCAAAGTATATATTTTTGCGTAATTTGCAAAAAACAATACTTAAATGATTTGCATATATTAAAAGAATTGTATTTTAAATACATCTATTAACTTTTGTTAAATATATTTTAATAATAGAAACATATCTGGACATAATATATTATTATAATATGTTCAATAATATGTATGTATAACTGAAGAACGGTATCCAACTTCTCAAATTTGTTCATCTTATGTAGTAGGGTCCGATTACAATTAGAAGAACACACAGATACGTCATCATTTGTTGGCAAAGTAATTAATTGTTTATCGCCGCCTACTGGGGGTTTAGTGGGATGTTAATATCACAGGAATATAGAAAATATTGTTTTATACCTAACAACTTACTTATTTTTTATTTATTGATAGTTATAGATAATATGTATTCGAAATTCGAAGTACATAAAGAATTTTGTTCAAAAATATGACAGCCGGTTTCTTCCTTAGGCCATTATCAGGTCTACAAAAAAAACAGTGGTGTTACATGCCTAAAAAATATAGTATAATGGTATTACAAACTGAGACGTCCCCAAATATATTAAACAAAAATTAAAAATCAAGTAGCTGCTATACGTAAACCCTCAAGAGGTAGGAAGTAAATAAGTACAAAATGTGAGAAAAAAGGAGGAACATAACTATTTTAAGTAAAAATTAATAAGATAAGGTTTAGGAAATATCTTATAAAAATTGTGGTTTTTCTCTAGGTAATGGAACGAGGAGAATCCAATTCAGAGGATTCAACTATATCCAACGTGGAGTTGGCAGAAGTTACTGGCACGTTATTGGAGTAAGGAAATGGCCAATGTATAGATGGGTTAAATCAGAAATGTGATATAATTGAAATCACTATAAGTGACTCCAAGGGCGTCCAATTAAATGCAGAGCTCCATTTAGTGAGTGGCAAGAAGAACAAAAAGATCGTCGAAACAAGTGCTCCCAATGGGAAAATTGTTGAAAATACTTTTGGGCCGCTAGTGCAAGGAGTGCCCAGATGTAAGTTGACACCCTCAACCAAGCAGTAGATGGTACTCCAGTTGCTCCCAATGAGGGTATGGTTCAGAGGTACGAACTATCATTATCACTGGAACAACCAAAAAGTGTAGGCTGATAAAAATACGGTCCAAGATCAATGGTTGGAAATATATGAACCTTATTAGTTGCTAGGAGAAAACCGCGAAGATTCGCTACGACTAATCTCATGTCTCATGGTACAACACAAGATGGCGGGTCGTTTCCAAGCCTGCGCTTTGAGCTATTATGAAAGAGCCAATCACAATGTTGCTAGATATTCTGAGTATTAAGTATTAGAAAATGTAATTTAAAATAACTTTTATTAATTAAAAGGTTTTTAGGAATATATTATAATGATAAAGAATAATAAAGTGGGTTTTAAACAAGTAAATTATAAAAAAAATAAAAATTATAAGATCAACGTGTGTGTCAGTGTATGGTAAGAGGCCTAAGAGAAGAAGAAAATTATAGTTGTCATGTTAATTGTCAAAACTTAAATTGTCATGTCATATATCTTTTGACTTTTGACATTTTTGTTTAATGTATTTGGAGACGTCTCAATTTTTAATACCATTGTACTATTTTTCTTAGGTATGTCACACCACTAACCTTCATACACCTTTAACTAATACCTCTGTTTTCTTTTTGTAAACCTATATGTACATATACGTACAGAGAGACGGCCCAATAGCCACTACCAAAGAACGTCATTCAGACATTGCGTTGGTGTGCTGCGCCCTCTCTCCATCCATGTCAATGTCTTTTATGTTTTATGTCAAATGATAGTTTAATTATTATCTTCTTCCGAGAAACATAAAATTATATTAAACAATATATAATACACATGTTTAATAAATTAAGTTTTTCTACTCTTACATGCATATTAACTTATCTACACACAGATTATAAAACGAAAAAAGTATGCTATTGCGTTCAACTAAACGAATTTATTTCATATTCATTCTAGGTAGTGAAAACATTGCAAAAAAAATGAAATCCACAAATCACAGTTCATATTTTGGACACTCAATTACTATTATTTTTAAAATTTTAAATAAGTGACAATCCTGTCAAACTAATTGTCAGTATATTTTTTAATTATTAAGATTAAATATACATTAAAATGAGTTATTTGTGTAAAATCGATAAATAATCGTAAATAATAGCATTTCTATTTTTATTTGAACCATATTTTGAAAAAAA